CTGGGGACAGTGATCCGCAAGTGGAACGGAGAAAAGATGGCCTACCTAAAGTAAGGATGGAGGTGCTGCTATTTATCTGGGCTACACTGGATACAACAGTTGACAGGGTAACTTCAGCTCTTTGTGTTTTTGGCTAGGAACTGGGGAGAAGGCTGGGGCTTTGTGCCTTCTGACAGAGCCCTGGTCTTTGTGGACAATCATGACAACCAGCGGGGGCATGGGGCCGGTGGATCTGCTATTCTGACCTTCTGGGATGCCAGGTAAGAGATTGCTCTTGTCTGGGTGCTGTTTTGTCTGTCTGTTTCTCTTTGCACGTCTCATGACTTGCTTTGTCCAACCAACAGGCTCTATAAAATGGCAGTTGGTTTCATGCTGGCCCATCCGTATGGGTTCACACGTGTGATGTCAAGTTTCCGCTGGCCAAGATATTTTGTTGATGGAAAGGTAAGCCTGCAATGCTGATGATGCATTTGTGGTGGATAAGGACCAGAGCAGGGCCCTAGAAGTAGTCCAGCGCATTTCAGTGTGTTAAGGGATTTCACTGGGCCATGTTGGATCTAGCTGGTGAAAATTTGATGCTCCATCTAGCTTTTCTCTCCCAAGAGGCTCTCTGCATTTTCAGTAAGAAGTTATAAACTTCTGAATTACAGGACATCAATGACTGGGTTGGACCCCCAAGTAACTCGGATGGCTCAATAAAGCCTGTGACAATCAATGAGGACACTACCTGTGGCAACGACTGGGTTTGTGAACATCGCTGGCGTCAGATAAAGTAGGACACTGTGGGAGAAAAAACTGAGTGAAAGCAGTTGCTTTTGCTTCATGTTCCTCATGGCTTTAGAGCTCTTGCAGCTGCAGTGACAGCCGTTCCTTGTATTTTCAGGAACATGGTTATTTTCCGTAACGTGGTGGACGGTGAACCTTTCTCCAACTGGTGGGACAATGGCAGCAATCAAGTAGCTTTTGGCCGTGGTAATAAAGGCTTCATCATTTTCAATAATGATGACTGGTAAGTCAATGGGAGAAACACTGTACCCAGAGAGAACCATAGCATCCCTCATCAGCAATACAACCCGAGTTATTCAAGTGTATGCCAAGTCTAGAGAGCTAAAATCACAGAATATTCTGAGTTGGAAAGGGCACACAAGGATCATCGAGTCCAGCCCTTAGCCCTGCACAGGACCATCCCCAAGCCTCACATCATGTGCCCAAGAGTATCATCCAAACACTTCTTGAACTCTGGCAGGCTTGGTGCTGGGAGCATAGGGAATGAAGCAGGGGTAGGATCAGAAAGCTCATGCTTCACATTGCTCTTCAAAGTAAGGGAGTAGCATCAGGTTCAAAAATCTTGCACACAATTTGAAATGTTTGTTTTTAAAATAATGGATAAATAGTATTTGTTTATTTTCACACAGGAATATGAGTGTTTATTTGCAAACTGGACTGCCTGCTGGTACTTACTGTGATGTTATTTCTGGACAAAAGGAGGACAACAAATGTACTGGAAAACAGGTGTATGTTTCTGGTGATGGAAAGGCTAATTTCCAGATTAATACCGACGCTGAAGATCCATTTATTGCTATTCATGTTGATGCAAAATTGTAACTCCAGAGAAATGTCCTCTTCTGTGCATTACTGTTTCCCCTATATGTAGTTTCCTGCTTTTTGAGCATGAATGATTCTGTATCTGGTGAATAGTAAATGGCAAGTAAATTGAAGAGTCGTACTTTTTCCCTTAATTAATTGGATGTAACTTTATTACCTCATAACTAGTGGCATTGCAGTCATAGGTTTTAAGGCAATGCAGCGCTTCAATTCCCACTTAATAGGAGAAAATAAAATAGATAACACCCCCCCAAACCAGCACCTCAGTAAGTTAAAATGCATTATTTCCAAGGCTAATACATGCACACACAGCTGTATCCCACAGCAGTCACGTTGTGGGCAGTCAGCTACAAGCAGTGCCTGCATACAGTTTATACCTTTCTTGTGGCAAACCAAACCTGGGGTCTTGGCCAGTGAAGGAAGCTGGGCCATGCCAAGCAGTTATTCCAGTCTGTGGCTTCAGTCAAACCAGTGGGTTACAGTTTGTGCCCGTACTAATCAAATCCACAGCTCTTCTGTTGTTATCCCCAGTGGTTTGCTGCAAATGAACATTCACTGTGGAGGGTTCCAGAGGTGTCCAAGGACGTTGTATACCCAGGCATCACTTACCCCTTGTGCCAGTGGCTGAAACCCAGCATATTCTTGTCTATGTGGTGCGTTAGGCTCCCTTATTCTGTAATATCTCAGGGAATTACACAGACGGAACACAGATTTGGCAGCTTTCCCTATTTCCTTGTCAACTGTGAGAAAATATTGACTTAAAAGGCAAGTGTGAGCTTTGCTTTAAGTCAGTGTCTGCTAGGCCAAAAGTACTTATTGCGGCCTGATCTGGAGGGGAAAATAGAAGAGGGTTGCTCAGATTTGCAATTTTTGGGGTAAAGGTGTACTTTTAAGGGCTCTTTCCCTTTTGTGGTGGGAGAGAGAGTATGTGTGGATGTTGGGGGTGGTTATTGGCTCTCAGTGTGCCCAAGGGCTTAGAGTGTCTGTCAAAGCAGTCGTGGTGTAGGAAGAGTGTCCCTGGCCCAGTGCTGGACCTATCGTCTGTCTGCATTGCTGGCTATGTCCAGCACTACCTGGATCCACCCACGCAGCCCCTGGATCCACTCACTGGAGCAGTGTCAGAGATTGGGAGATTTGTGTGGCAGGATGTTCATAGCCAGTGCAGACCTGTTGTTTGCCCACAGGGGCAGGTCAGGAGCCCTCCTGCCCCTTTGAAATTGATTGGCACTGCCTGCTCCTCCTGGGTTACTGTACCCGTGTTTGTTTAAGCCCTGCATTCAGCTCTAACCCTCAGAAACACTGTGATTCCATACTAGCTATTATTCAGACACTACCCAATCCCAAATGGAATTGTCAGTCCACATTTCAAATTACAAATCCACCTCCAAGCCCCACAGTTTTTGTGGCAAATGACTGAAATGACACACATTGATCTGAGGTGTCCATAATCAACAGGCGGTGCTGAATATGGAGAAGATTATGTCTGTGCCTGTGAACATATGTGGATCCGCTTTCCAGTTATGTTGGAGTGCAGTGAGTGTTTTGCCTAATGTAGACTCAGATGGCTCTGCATTTCACAGTAGAATTAAATAGAAATATGGAGGAAAAGAAATCTGGAGACAGTTTCCTTATATGTAAGTAAAACTTTGTGGGGCAAATGTTCATTGCTTGGAAAGGACCTGACCTGTTTTTTGTTCCTTTTATTTCAGGCTTTTTAACACATTGCATTATAGTATGAGCACAAAGATGATGAAGAAAGCAACAGTGTCATCCAGAGTAACACCAGGTCTTTCAGATAACTCACAAGCCCCAGTTAGCTTTACTGATGATCGCTACGTTTTTTAAAAAATTTTAGTACTAGGAAATATTTATTGTTATCATTTCTATTGTCACCCTTCTGTATGTAAATTGAAGGCACCAAGGCCTTAATCTTGTGTACCAGTAATCAGTGAAAAATTGAAATTATGTTATGAAATTTATCAAGTTTAAAGTAAAATGTTTGCTGGGGCACAAGAAGATCTGTGTCTAACAGATCTGCTGAAGTGTAAAACTTTAGAATTTTGTGGGCGTTATGCAATATTTCATTTTCTGTGGCAAGTGGTGCTCACTGTCATTGGCCAGTCAGTGAGTTTAATTGAGTAATGTCAAAATCTGTTATAGGTTGATTTTTATTTTTTATTAATATTACCAGTCTCAAGCCTTCCAAAATACTATCTCAAACCCTAGAAATTCTGAGATGGAAAAGAAAATAAAGATTTGAATAAGAGTTGACTTTTATTTTCACTCCAGATTTGGAGTTTTCCAGGTACACTCTCTTCTCATTTTTATATTTTATTTTGAAATCTGGTGTAGAATTTAAACATGGGAAAAGTCCCCTGACCTAACCAGCTGGGATTAAGCACACAAAAAACAATATTTCCAATTTTAGGGATATGCCAGGTACCTGATTGGAAAAAACTTTCTGAGCAAAGGTAAATACTGCTGACTTTTACGTACTATCTGGTTATCAGCTGGGTTTTAAAGTGAATGGAAGAAAGATGACAGTTAGTAATAGATTATTTTTCCTTTGGGATCTGTGAGATTTCCAGAGAAGTTTAACTAGTTCTGTTATATAATTTCAGTTCCTTCACTGGAGAAGAGCATGAATGCAGCTGCTGGGTCATGAAGAATTGCTCAGTTGACATTGGTTGTGCAGAAGGTGAATCTATCCATCTTTACTTATGATGAGTAAGATAATAGTGTATCTGAGAAACTTGCCTTCTGTCCTTTTGTCCCTGGTTCAGCTGCTCCAGCTGCCCTCTGTTCTACTCGGTTCTATTAGACTTCCATACACTTTTATCCCAGTTTTGCTTTTCCTGCTTTTCTGCCTCTTCTGTCACATGACAAGTACCGTTTCCATCCTAGCCAGCTCTTCCTTTGTGCTCTTTGGGAAGCTTAAAGGAACTGTGTTAGATTCAGACACCTCCACTCTTTGAACAATTTCATCTTTTTACAGAAATATGGTGTTCTCTTGGATAATGTACAAAATGAACAACTCCAAAAGCAATGATGGTTTTATGAAAGCTTTTGCATTTATGGTACACCAAAGCTACTAATGGTGAGTGTTGAGGACACCTTTAAATAAAGAACAAGCTGTTTATTTTCTTTATAATGTGCTGGAGCAACAGAGGAATGAGGCTGTAACTATTGTCCTGTAACTACCATATTCAAGCAATATGAAGCCTATAAAAGTATGATTTGGAATATCTACATTTCACAGGTACCATAATTGAAATTAAGCAGAATTTTGTATATATCAACACATTGTTCAAACATGGTTTGTTTTGTGCTGTACAACATATGGAGGCATTTAAGGGAAGTAGACTGGAACAGAAGGAAGATCAATGCAGAGATAATTAATTTGCAGTGTAGGTACGAGAAAAATTCTTTAACTTATTTCACCCAGATGGTCTGTAAGTATCCATTATTAGCAATGATATCCCTTAGAGAACATTTTAGGAACAGTAGTTAAATGGTTTTACAGAGAAATTTTAAGACTTTAACAATTCTTGTTTAAACTTTACTATGGTCCTCTAGTTGACCATCTTAACTTCTGTCCTCTCTACACTAAGGAAATTTTAGGGCTGCTGGTAAATCCTTAACAGTTAACACCTGCAAAATCAATGAAGAATAATTTATAATTTTCTCATTTAATTAATTGTAGTTGTGTTTAACTGGGTGATAAAGAAAGAATGTCCTTTACTTTCTAAATATATCTTGTGATGGGATGTTTTATTGTAGTGGGGTGGGAAAGACAGTAGATAATTGTCAGTTTTGTAAATATAAAACACTTGTTCACTTCAGCCTCTGACAATTAAAATATAGAAAAAGAACAATAAAATAAAGCATAGCAGTAGATGTAATTTTCTTGCTCTGTCCTTTTGTTTTGGCCATGTGCTCTCTGAATATGTGTAAACAAAGTACACTGCACTGAATTAAGCAGAACACCGTGTAATACCATAAAATTCAAATTCACAAACATTATTAATTTCAAATAATATATATTTAGTTGCTTAATTTATTACCTTTTTTTTGTTAGTTTTATCCATATCTATCAGAATCTTGCACACCAAAATCAGACTATTGTAATCAGAGAACACACCAGTAGTATGAAAGCTCACACTTTAAGGGGCTGGTTCCAAGCAATAAGAGTTTTCTGATTATTTTATCTCTTATCTTCTGTAAGTCACAATAAAATCCCCATCTTTATAGCTGAATTCATTTTCCTCGAACTTTTCAGTTTTAAGAAAATTATTTGGATTTGCTATGCAACATATGAGGATACCTTCTCAGAGCATTACTGGGTATAAGTAGCAGTCACTGAGTAGAAATTAAAGGAGGTAAGCAAGTAATTTGATAAACTGGAGAAATAATTGTCTCAGTCGACATTAATTTCTGATTCTATAGATGCATAATAAGGCTGTAGATTTGTTCATTCTTTTTTCTTTTTTTTCTCTTTATTTTTCTTTTTCATTTTCTTTTTCTCCTTTTTTTCTTTTTTTTTTTCACAGTAGTTCTGTCTCTATATGTAGCTTTCAGCATAATAGTGATCAGAATTTAATGGAAGTGATGCACAATAAAGCAAAGTAAGTGGCTACTTGTATATGCAACTGCTCATATTTAAGTTATATATGGACACATTCAGGAAGTAAACACTTTCACATTCATCCAATTAGAAAAAAGAAAGCATGAGTTTGATACATCACAAGATTATTTATCCTTCTAGTGGGTTTAATCCACAGAGTTAAAATTACATATTTGTCAGTTAAGGTGAAATAAATAGTGGTATTAGAAAAACCATGAACTTCTAGTGTACTGTCCATGAGTGAACCAGAGGGTTAAGTTTATTGAATTATTCATGGCAATTTATTTTCTCATCTCAGTGCTGGAAACTTTTGTTCAGCTCTGCATATGTCTGTGTCAGCTTATTATTTCCCTGAATCTCTGTTATTTTTCTAACAGAAGAAGGAGTTCTGTAAAGGGAAGCTAACAGTCTATTGTCTTTTTTATAGAGACTGAAAAATTTTATTCAAGTTATCATTTTGTTTTGAGGGGAACAAATTAAGAACTCAAC